GTAATGTCTAAATTAATCAAAATATTGTGGCAGAAACGACATTTTAACTTGATGTGACCAATCAGTGAAAAGCCTTTTTCTTAATGCAGTGTTTGTTACGGTGTTTCCTCTCGTGTCGGCTGAATATATCTGCTGTTACTAACAGTAATTCACAAAGAGATACTAAAATATTTTTATTATGACAAAGCATTATGATGAGGTGATTACTGAAGCTCACAGCCTTAATCTATATCTAAAGTCTATTGCGTAAAAATAACATTGGTGACATTGATCGGTGAAATCTTCCACTACAACATCAGCTCATTTAAACAGTACATTCATGGAAAACAAAAGATGTAATCTATCACGAAGAACACGCTTCTAAAATCCTCTGCTCATACTCATCCAAGTTATCCCACTCTTCAAATCCATCACCATAACAACCGTATTGTTGGTAAAAGTTGGAACTATCTCAGCTGTACTGAACTTCAGACTAGGCTATGTTTGGACTTGTACCGAACTGGTGCAACCCGGTACAGGTTCTTTCTGAGGAGGACTTGGTAAAAACTGTACTTCAGGACCTCAATCAGAGGATGTCAGCGGCTCACACATGCCTGCAGTACGCTTTACTCAGCCTCCCTGCCATACAGAAATACATTTGGAAAACCAGAAGAGCCGAATGAAAGTTTGTCCACAAAGTACGTTTTCGGCTCAAATTGTTTTTTAAAAATTGCAGAATGAATCCATGTTAAATACAATATTTTTTAATTTTCAAAAAACAATGTGTCAGCTGTTGTAGAGGTACACTGAGCTAGAACTCTGCAGCCAGCTTCAGATGGATGAACACGTATTTGGTTCATGACAAAGTAGGGACAACATAAAGTTTCTTCCTGCTAGTAAAGTAAGGCGCTGAAAATGTCTTAATTATGTCATACACTTACATCATCATTGATTTTTAGGTTGGTTTCCTAAAAATGGTATGGTAAAACTGACCCTATCTGGAGTGATGTATAGCCTAGCGCCAGCACTTGGTAGTGATGGACTCTATTACTTCACCCGCCATCTTGGATATGTCGTAAAAGTAAGACTGTGAATTCTGCAGTGTCTTTTTTATGCCATGTTTTGTGTCCAAAGCTTTGAGGGGCATGTGTAAAAGGGGATCTTTGGAAAATGTCAGGGGCAAATTGAAATTTTCTGGTGCATTTAAGAAAGGGGCTAACAAGAGTTTAAACCCCCCACCCATTCTCTGGTTGGCTTTTCTCTTTCTGTATACTGGTGCTGTTGTAGTCTAACTTCAAGTCACAGATTTTCAACGCTTGACTTTCCTCCAATCCAAGCATTTTAGGCACAGTGTGGTCAGTCCTGAGAAGTTACTGAGGTCTCGTAACATACAGCACAGAGGTTTTTTTTTTTGCATGGCATGTTAGCATCACCTTGTTACCGGTTACTGTTGACCTCTGAAAGCATAACGCTGCCTGATTGTAGTGTTTTGATTCTTGTAGTCCTGGCTATTTTCATTCCTCAGCATTCAGTGTTTTTTTGTTGAAATGCAAACATTTCGGGTTTGCTGGAATCTGCAGCACAGAGAAAAAAAACCCAGAGCCAGATCCCGCAGAGCTCCCATGACACCACTCAGTCCAGATAGAGCATTAAGAAAAGCTTAGACCCCCCTTTGAGTCTTAGCTTCCAGTAATTACAGAGTGTAAGAATCGTGTTAGTGGAGAAAAAAGGGGCGAGATCCCCCAGCAGGCCGCTGTGTTTGACAGAAAAGTGGAGTTGAGGCGAGGGGGGAGTGATGGAAACAGACATGTAGTGTAAACACATGTTCAGGGGCTGTTCCAAGCATTCAGCACTGATGAACACTGAGCTGCATGCAGAGCGCTGCTATCACATCCAGCTCTTTGTCTCCTGCTGAACATGATATATTCTAACACTGTCAAATATGTCAGAGATAAAAATATGTTTATATCATTTCTCTCTACTCACTCTGTGTTGGATTTGTTCGAATTTAAACTGTGCTTTGATTTGTTAGAAAACAAAGAAGTCCTGTTTGTTTGTGTCTTTCCTTCCTTTATATCAGGAGACACATGTTAAAGTAAAGTTTTAAAGTTTTATTGTAACACATTACACCTGGCTGTATTACTGTATTATCCCTCTTCTGGTATTGCTCACTCTGTACACTTGCAGAGTAAAGTGAACAAATGTGTGTGACTGATGGAAAATGTGTTCTTCTTTCTAAATCCCTCTGTAAACGTGGAAATACTGCAGCTGTGGAAAGTATGCTCGGATAACAAACCACAGAAACAATATATAAGGACATTATCACATGTGGATTGACTTATTTTTGGCCCTCCCCTTGTTAATCAGCCAATCATGTGGCAGCAACTCTGTGCATTAACACTCAAACTCCCAGAATTCTTGAACTACTAAGAATGACCCTAGCAGCCATTCGGATCCCATATACAATATTTGAATATTATTAGATGATACAACTTAAATTCTAATAATAATCTGATGATAGGTAATAACACACATCAGGGAACAAATATGGAATCTTAATGAATATGTACTTTTAATTGGCAATCACATAAGCTGCTTTTGTAGGCTTATGGTGTGTTCCATTTGATCTTGGAAGTCAGAAATTCTGAGTTACTGGTCTAATGCATCATCAGGAAAGCCCCCCTGGAACGCGACTAACACGGGTGTTAAGTAATTCCCAGCTCCAAGATATGAGTTCCGAGGTAAATGGAACGCACTATAATTATAGCCTCAACAAAGTCATATTGAATAGGCCTATTGGCTATTTCCTTAGTTAAACTTATTCGTTCCTCGTTTTATATAAGGATACAATATTTATTATAACACGTATTTCAAAACCCTTTCTGAACACTTGTAAAATGCACTTTCTTGGATACAACATTCGGTCAGACATAATTATAAGTCTACTCACAGCCAACACAGGTAATCTCCACCTCTAAGGAGCAGCTCTCATACACTACATTGTCACATTTTTTTTTTGTTTGTAGAGTCTCGTATAGTGGCGTTTGCAAAAGGGGATTTTCTCTGTATCAACAGAAGTGTCAGCGTCAGGAGAACCTTTTAAGTGCTGTCCCATCCCGCTCCTCCGTCAGCCTCGGCCTCATCAGTGCTCCACAGTATGGCTCAAACCTTCTCCATGACATGTCATTCTTGTATTCTATTCTTTTCATGATATTGGTTGTCATCGTCTTAGCTTGAAGATGAGGTTTATCTAGTTTTAGAGTTACAATGGTAATCCAGAAACAATGGTTGCTTGGCAACAATGACATGCATCTTCAGGTGCGGGAAAAAGAAGCAAACAGTAGAAAGATACACTGACTATAATGCATACGCTGGATATGACAGCTTCGGCCATTCAAGGCCATACTCATTGTTTCCTGCTTTTTAGTCCTTTGCCAATCTCATCCCTAAGAAATGGTGATCCAAACAGCAAGCAAGAGTTAAACATTTTTCAAGTCAACATCATGATGTAGTTATTTCAGCAGTTTTTTGTAATGACATCTCAGTAAAATCTGTTTATCTAAGGTTCAAGACAGATCTCAGCTGACTTTGTGTGGCTTGTTAGATACAGTGAAACTGTCACTCAGTGGAGACAGATGGACAGGAGCTCCAGCTGAAACAGAACAACGGTAGTTGGTGTCGATCAGAGAAATCCTGGTACTGATCCTACCTAACAGGTGATCAAACTGGGACCTGGTCAGCCTCAAGTAGCTGGAAGCAGCTGGAAAGTTCATCCAGACACATGAGTTAGGAGGGGGAGATTAACCCAACTGTGATGTTATGAACACAGACATGATGGTGTTTGGATACCAGACGTAAAAAGACTCTGACTGGGGAATGGTTTCGGTGCCAGACGGTGTTGTTGGAGTGTAACAGTAACTGCTGCTTTCATGGGATATTCTGCACATTAGTCTCTGGAGTTTACATTGATGTTGCAAAAAAAAAAAAAAAAAATCCACTGAGCAGCGTACCTAATAATGGAAACATCTTTCTAATGAGAGGTCAGAGCAGGATGGTCAGACTGGTTCAAGCTGAGAAGACAACAGAAAAAAAAAAAACTAAAGTTACAACAGAGCTCTGTAGAAAACATTGGCCAAGTATCATAGAAGAACTCAAGTCTAATGACATCGCAAAAAGCAGATTTTTTTTTTCTCTCACAATACCTGTGTAATGGTTTAAAAAGTGTTGTTATTGGATTATTTTAGCTGAATGTGTCTATGGTTATCAAAGTAACAACAGATGTTAAAGATGGAAAGTGTCCTTACGAGTGCTGCATTGTTTTGTTTTGTATTGCAATGTCCAAAACACCAATCATATGTAATACACCATGACAACCACGGACGGATTCGTCTGAAAGTTGACAGTAAACATGGCCACTCTTTAAAGCGTAACACCGGTTAACGTTAATCTTAACTTTAGTTAATCATTAACCAAATTAACTGATTAACTGCCATCAAAGTTAACGTCTTCGTTAAGGGCTTCATAGTTAATAGAGTTACAGTTTTGATGGACTGTGCTCTCCTCTGGGAATGAGTAGTGAATTAATATATTTGTTTTGGTAGCATTTTTTGATGGGGGATACAGATAGCTTCTGCTATGGTTTCGAGCTATGGTTGCATTTTTCAACAAGGCAGCACATCCTAACAGAACACCTGTAGTTTGCCTCTCTTCTTCATTCATTTAGGCCATAACACTCTATTAAAGCCCATCGACAAATAAGGTTTTAAATAAACTCTTCTAAAAGATATCTGCATACTGTGAGAGAGCAGATGTCCCTCCTGACATCGAAATCTACCCTCAACTACCCTCGACATCTACCCTCATCTCTGCCTTCTCATCTCAGGTTGAGGTCGGTCTCTAAACAGTGATTTGAATGCAGAGCAATGAAGTTCTTGTACTGTTGAGTTCTGAACTCAGACGTTTTTGTGGTACATTTGACTAAATAATCCTGATTCATTCTGTGCGTGTGTTTGTGTCTGCAGGGAAGAAGAAGGAGAAGGTGACTAAAATGGGTGAGGACGGTCGTGGGAAGAGAAACGCCATCAGGCTGCATGAAGCGTACACTGTGGAGACAGTGGTGGTGGCTGACTCCGACATGGTGCAGTACCACGGCGCTGAAGCGGCTCAGAGGTTCCTGCTGACCGTCATGAACATGGTGAGGGTCGGAGACAAATATTACTGAAGCCCTGAGCGGACATTCATCCACACATTTGATAAAACTTCACTTTCCAGTACATTTCAGGTGTCTTCTTAAAAACATGACTGAAGGTTTGCCTCAGGACCTCCCTACAGTAACAGATGGCTGACGTCACTCAGGCTTCATCCATTAATATTTAAAGGGATACTTCCCCCGTCGAAACATGAATCTGTATTGACATTGGGTCATATATGTAGAAATGTGAAATACATTTTGAAGTTGGTGCCTTCTTGGCCGAGAAAAGACAGAAAGTGTCTTTTTGGCTCATGTGGATGAAAGACACCAAATCCCAGAATGCACAGCACCGCAGGCCACTCCCACTAAGGTTAGGTTTACAGACATATTTACTTCAACACATAAGACTGTTTCCTCAACTGATTCAGAGATTTCTTCCAGAATTGATCTTGTAAATTCCTGTCAGAAAACAGACTCTATGTCTGCGTCCATAGGCAAACAGTGAGAGCACTGACACTACCAGTCCGCCCCAGCTCGAGCCGGCCCCGGCTCCTCGTCCTCACCACCAGCTGCCAGCAATATACCAGCGGGGGCCCGCGGCTGCAGCAGCCATGACAAGGCCGGCCTGTCGGCAGCAGCCATCTCGCTGCTATATTTATATTTTTTCTCCATTATCAGCTTTCTCCATAGAGCCTGTTAGCATAGCTTCCAAGCAATATGGTGGACGTTAAGTTTCAATTCTGGGAGTGAGTTCCCACCCACTGATCTGTGATTGGTCTGAAGCTTCAATGGTCGAAAATATGAGGAACTAGCGTTGTAGTTTCACCCCACTAACCGCAATAGCTTCCAGTGAAGCAAAAGTACGATTTTTGCATCACTGGAAGCTCCTTTTCAGACTCAGAAATACAAAGATTTCCCATCTCAGGGAAAATGAGGGCGGGATGCACGACCATTCAAAAATACTACCAGGTTTCTAATGATACAAAGCTTAGTGCAAATGGGTGAAGTATCCCTTTAATTTCTATTATTAACTTAAAATGTCGAGTCTTTACTCCACACAGACTTGAGGAAGTGACATTAAATGGTCTGTGACAGAAGTCCTTCACAGTCTGTTTAAGTTTCTCTGAAGCCAAACTGTTTCAGCTACACGCTGTTGATTGTGACACATTTATATTTGATTCTAGATGTTTCATTAAGTTACTTGACAGTAACATAATTACTCAGTACTTATGTACTACCTTTATATTGGTGAAGACGCTTCATGATGTTTGCCACATGTTGTTTCACATTCACTTTGCTTCTGATTTACAGACGGGGGGAGGGGGACACGAAGCTTCGCTGCCATAGTAATGCTAATATAGTGTATCATCTTCATAAGCCTGGGACATTAAGCTTGTGCAACACAGCTGCTATCACTTTGTTTGCGTTTCCCTGCCCTCATAATAAAGTATCACACCCTTTCTCCAAAAAACCCTTACTCAACAGAACCAAGCCTAAACCTCCAGGCATGAAACTGATTCCACACACACAAAAGTTTGAGAGTTGTGATGTTTATAACTCACCTGTTTTGATATTTCTGAAGGATTCCATGTATGCATAATTAGGGGCGTGGCTGATCTGGCCTTAAGCCAATGGGTGACTTCACTGAGACTTTGTTCACGTTTATAGAATACAATAGAATTACTTTATTGATCCTAAACTGGGAAACTGTGATGTTACAGCAGCAGGTTATCAGAGCAAATAAAACAAAATAAGAATAGATACAAAGTAAATGAGCACTTAAAATATAAAAAAATAAGAATAGGAAGATTTATACATCAAGGATTTAACTTAACATTCTTACTGGTTAAAAAAATGAAAATTAAATACAGCATTTATTCAGGCTTGTCAACTGAATGTAAAAATACTTGCTGGAGGTAAGAGATGTAAGTTTGCGAAAACAGTGATTTGTCTTAATCTCTGGTGAGAACAGAAACACCCCGTGTAGTGGAACGAATAATGAAACCATAGTTAATAGGGAAACTGGTTCCCTGGCAATGTGCAAGGCCTTTTAACCGTATCAAACGTTCACTGCATTCCTTTCAGCTCTTTGGTCTCCTGATCCTGAAACGTGTGTCTCTGTCTCTCACAGGTCTACAACATGTTCCATCACCGCAGCCTGGGGGTCAGGATCAACATTCGGGTCACCAAGCTGGTGTTGCTTCACAGCCGCCCAGTAAGCCTGACTTTTTTACCCTCTGTGACCCCTCTTAAACTCTCTGTCAGACCCCCACAGCAGACACTGCCCCACCCAGTGTCTGAGTGCTGGCAAGAAATCCCAGCATGCAGCAATTTACAAAATTAACATATCTTTTTTTTTACATTTTATTTATTGAAACTTTAGACAGGTTTAGTAAGAAAGACAAAGAGGTGGACCTTATTGCAGGAAACTAAAATATTTAATTGAATAAAAAGGCAAAAACAAGGCTTCCAAGTTCCAAATCAAAGTTAATTATAATCCAACAAAAAGATCCACAAGTAGAAACCGGGGAGTTACGAGCAACACTAGGAACAAGAGTATGTATACGTATGAACTGACACAGAAGAGTAGAAACACAGAGACTGCATGCATGTGCTGCTCGGGTGGTCCAAGTTTCCGAGTTGAAACTCGTTTTTTTTCCGATGTTTCTGACACCACGTGAATGCACCATATGTACAGGGTGCAATCAAACACAGGTGAGACTAACAAGACAACGGTGATCAAAAAGGAGAGAAACACACAAAGGGAGGAAGTAATACAAGGCATAATAATGCAGGGGCAAGACCTACAAAATAAAACAGGAAACACTGAAAACTTGAGCCAGGAATATGAACAGAAAAATGCACACAGGGATAAAGCAACACCAGGGAAGAATGAGACATAATAGAAACAAGAAAATAAAATCTAAATCCTGAACATATACAGCATGAACAAATAAAGACAATTTTAGAGTTTTAAAGTTTTGCTCTACAAAGAAATAAAAAAATAAACATGAATTCAGGCAGAACTGAACCAGCAACCTCTGTGTTGTATGAGGTCAAATCACAGTTTTTCTCAATGGAGTTAGGCAGCTGTGAAGAGTGATGCAACAGCTTTAAAGTAAGATTAAACTCTTGTACACAACATTTCTATCTCTGTAGGGGTCCTTTCAGGGGATCCAAGTTTGGCTAATTTATTGTTTTTATTTCCAAAAACTTGCAGGCAAACTCCTGCACACTGTCCAAATTGTACAAATAAGATGGCACATAGGATATCAGATCCAATGATAGAGTGCATTTGGACATTTTTAACGTCTCATCTTGTCATTATTCATTTATTAAACAAGCTTTGAGTATTTCTGTGACTACTGTGAATAGTGTAATATTACATCTAAGGGAAAAAACACTGAGCCTCATCTCCAGGAGAGCAGGAGGTTAACCTGCATCTGCTCTTTAGGAACGGCTCAAAGTGGGCCATCATGGTGAGAGGTCGTTGGAGAGCTTCTGTCAGTGGCAGTATCAGGAGTTCGGGGGGCCGCGGTACCTGGGCACCAACCACGTTCCTGGTGGACGAGACGACATTCCACCTGTGGACACTGCTGTGCTGGTCACCAGGTATGTAGGCAGCTCTTCAAATCACCACGTGTATGAAATGTGCTCTCAGCTTCATTCATCTTCAATATGAAGACACTTCACTCTTTTAACTCGTGATCAAAGGGGATCGTAAGCCTGTTGTATTAAAACCTAAAAATCAACAACGTTTTAGCTATCCAGTCTCGAGGGTCTCATAACATAATGTTACATCTCGAGTTGAGTAATTTTAATCAAATCACTGGTGCACAAACATACTGATTGTCTGATAAAGTTTTTGAGTCAAATTAAATATCCAGCCTTCATATATTAAAGTACACAAAGACGAATTTGGTGGTTAGTTGTTTGTGAGGATTGGCTGAACGCTGCTCCCTCTAAACCTTAAAGGTTTTATATGTGATTTTTCACACTTAAATATAATATAAATCAAGTACATCCTCTGAAAATAAGTCTGTGAGTCATGACTGTCTACAATGGGTGTAACACCCGAGTCCCACTGTTTGTGATGCTTTCAGAGTCCTATCTTCAGTTTGTTTACATCGCCAGGACGGCCAGCTGACTCCTCCCCTCACGTATAAAAGTTGTTTAATTGAGGGACTAGAGAAAAGAAGAATAACATACTGTACTCACTGCTTAACTGTGTTTCTAGATCACGCTCATTTCAGGTAAATTTACATGCAGTGTGAAGATACGAGCATAATAAAGATCGCTAGCATTAGCATGCTAACACAACAATGCAGCGCAAGTTGTTTTGGTTTCATGCTGGTGCTCAAGGGCGACATCTGCTGGATCAAAAAATCATATGTAAACTTTAACCTCTGAAACGTTCCATTTTACAAATAGATAGGTCCTTAAGTTAAGATAACACAATGCTTATTATGTTACCTGTCAACAGCACTGCCATAACGTGTTAGCATCAATAATTACAAACTTTTTTAATATTATAGAACATAAAAGAGAGATGTTCTGTCAGCATACCTTTAACTTTCTATTCTTAATTGGCAATTACTGTAAGTGACAACACTGATCTTAAACATGGACTTCAAAGGAGCTGACCCTGAGCTGGGACACCTGAAAACAGTCTCTATAATCCTGGCCCTGTTCATCAACAGGGTGGGTTGGGAGGGGGGGGATTCTTATCAGGTCTCCCTCAGTCTGTCAGTGAGGCAGGTTTGTTCTTCATCCTCATGTTTCAATCCCGACATGGCAGCATCTGGCACAACATGACACATTCCTAATTTAGGATTAGCTATTATTATCTGCTCTAACTCCAGTGCTGTGGGGAGGGGGGGGGGTTAAATGAGTACTCATGTCTGCTGTCAGATCCTATCCTGTCTCCTCTTGCTGCGAAGGGGGGTGAATACAGGGGTCTTTTGTTCTGGAGCCGTGGAGTAGGGGGGAGCAGGGGGGGAGCGAGATGTTGCCAGCAGCAGTCAGGGTGATAGAGAGGCGGCGGGCGGGCAAATTAAAGCGTGTCACAGCAATCTCTGGTTTCCTTTTTATGCCCGGTCACTCAACGCCCAACGTGTGTGTGTGTGTGTGTGTGTGTGTGTGTGTGTGTGTGTGTGTGTGTGTGTGTGTGTGTGTGTGTGTGTGTGTGTGTGTGTGTGTGTGTGTGTGTGTGTGTGTGTGTGTGTGTGTGTGTGTGTGTGTGTGTGTGTGTGTGTGTGTGTGTGTGTAATCGTCAGATATTTGATACTGGCCTGTGATCATTTCTTGTCTTCATCGGTAGCCGCCTGCTGCCACATGAAAAAAGGTTTTTTGATCCGACATTCAGAACCACAAGTGAAGCTAATTTTCACTTTGTGTTCCTCAACAAAGTTTGACTATAGGATCATTGTGTGTGTTTTTTGCATTAGATCATCACAACCTCACTGTCAGAAAATCACACTCCTTCATGTCTGAGTTCATATCATCACAGCTGGGTTAATCTCTCCTCCTCCTCCATGAACTGTGTCTGGAAGAACTTTCCTGCTGCCTCCAGCTACTGGCTGACCCGGTCCCAGTTTGATGACCTTTAACCAATGGGTGCATGATGTGTCTACTGAATTAGTTTCATTTAATCATCAAAGATTTGTTGGTTGGTTACATCATCTCTGTGTGTTTTTTTCCATGCTGTGTGCATACGTTAAATCGTTCTGAGTTGCTGAGGAGTGAGCCATCTTGCATCCTTACTATCTTTGCAGAGAGTTAGCTTAGCAAAACAGCCATGTTGTAACAATAGAAACACACAACATAACGTTAAGGCGGCAGCTGAAGTGACACCATCACATAATCAATCTTTTAAACTCTGGAGCATTTCACACTCGGTGTTGCAAGTAAAAATTGATTAATTTCCCTGCTGCAGAGTCATGACTTTAGTGAGAAAGCACTGGGTAGACTTTTTGGTTTGCTCCTGGGCAGACCTTTCTAACTTCTGGGCTAAGTCGCCTGGAGCAAGCAGCAACAAGACACGGAGCCGGCCTTGAGTATTGGGGAGTCGGGGCTTTTATTTTGGAACACACAGCTTTGACAGATCATTTGTCCTGATAAATCCTGCAACCACTGATCTCTCATTCTCTGCTGCTCTGGTCATGGCAACACTAAACTCAACCGCCTCACACTCTCAGACTCCCGCTCTCTCTCTGCACTCTCTCCCACCTACACTTACAAAAGTAAAAAAAGGTGAATAGATTAACATTTTTGAGTACCATGCTTGATTTATGTTGCACAGAAAACATTTTGTTCACCTCTTCACTTGTTTTTATTGACGACAAATACAATCCAAAGTTGCATTTAGATGTTATCAGGCTGGATAGAAAATGAGTTTACTTTGGTTCTAACAAACTTTGAAGCTACTGAGGTATTGATTTTGTGTGATTTCAAAGCAACAGAATATCAACTGGATCATCTCCTTGCCTGCACCTTTGTGTTGTCTGATCAACATTAAATGTTGGCAATGCAAAATCGTCTTTAACAGGCAGGCATATTAGTTACTGGGAATCTGATCAGTATAAAATGTGAATTAAAGGCACTTGGTCTGTAATCAACCTTTGATCTTCTTTAATTGGATGGATACTATAGATAGATAGATAGATAGATAGATAGATAGATAGATAGATAGATGTAAACACTGATGGCAAAGATTGATACGCTGCCGACAGAGCAGTGGGAGTAATTTGGAGTTAAGCATCTTGCCCAAGGACACATCGGACATGTTGCTGCAGGAGCTGGGGATCAAACCCTCGACCTTCCGGTTGAGAGACGGATGGTCGGAGCCACAGCTCAGATGTCCCTGCTATAACAGAGATGTTTTTGTCATATGGCCAGGGGGAGAAAAGAGTTCTGGAGTCTGTCTGTGGAGCAGGACTCGGACAGCAGTCTGCCACTGAACACTCTGCCTGGTGAAGGTTCCTGTGCAGAGAGGTGGTGGGTGTTGTTCAGGATGGAGAGACGTTTGTCAAATGCTGGTTGACAGTAGATGGTCTGGTTTGCTTCTGTTGCTCATAAAGAGGCATTGACAATATTTCAGACTGTATAGCTAGTAAAAAAAGTCTTAAAGCTAGAGTAATTATTAAATACACATCCATGTGATGCAAGTTCAAAGTCTGTGTCTTCTGAGTCACGCTGACATTTTAGGTTACTGTATGTGAGTGATGTCTCAATGTGGAAGTCCCAGTTAAAGGAAGTGCTAAAATAATGAAACTGTACAGTAATGTGCCCCATCATAAACTCTCCCCAAAATAAAACATCAGAGCCAGCATGTCCTGCTGAATCTTGATTTCATTTTCAGACTGTTTCAACCTTCCTTTTTCTCTTTTTTTCTCTTCCTTCATAACCATCATCCCTCTCTGTCTTTGTTATGCATTTCTTTGTGCAGCTGCAGCCCCTCTCCATCTGTTTACCTCCACCTCTTTCCAAACGGGAGTCAGCTCCGCTTAGTGTTGCTTCCTCTTCCAGCTGATCAGACGCTGGAGTCCGGGAAAGCAGCCAGCTGTGCTGACCGCTCAGCAGCCGTTACACAAGCAGAACAGAGCTGAGTCACAGCAGCAGGCTGACTCAGGCACAGTTACAAGTGTCTGAGAGTGTGAGGATGAAAGTTAGAATGTAATCACAGGTCGGGGTAGTAGTTGATTACATGTTGTAAAAGATACTGATTTGACATGTTTGTCTTTGTATAAGGAGGTCCGAGGTCTGCTGTGGAAACATGGACTGTAACTCATTGGTTCCTTATTACACAAAGATTCAAATAAGTTCTTGAATCAGTCAATTGTTTTTTATTCATAGATGATCTGATGTCACCGTCCAATGTGGAAGAAGTCACTTCTTTTTTTTTTACGATCAACATTTTGTATTTTTACAGATACAAATATGGTATAGGACAGTCATACCATGAAATCAAATATAGGCCTGCACTCCACCTTTGTGGTGTCCAACTTGGTTTGAGTGCACCGTTTGGAAAAAACAAAGTTCCGCGCTCTAAAACACGTATGCAGCAGACGCCCATCCACACACACACAAACACACACGCACCCTTATACACAGCAATCAAAATGCTAAGGAGTTTGAGATAAAGAAGGATCAGCGTGTGAGCCACGGGCAGAACAGACCTATAGGAGAAATATATACATATACACACATAATTACATATAAGAAAAAATCAATATAAAGGGATCAAATCACATTAAAGGAAAAGGAAAAAAAGAAAACAAAAAGATGTCACTTCTAGTGTTAACCCTTTGTTATCACAGAGTTTACAATTTTACTTAAAGGTAAAGTTCTGATTTGTTAAAGTCAAGTTGTCGGAGCAACCACAAGAGATGTCGGTCATCTTGGCCCCGTTTCTAAGAAACCAGTCGGAGTGCTTGTACAGAATCCAGGCTAAACATCTTCGTAGATCACAGATATTTAAAGACACGAGCCTGACATTCTTAAAGTCACCAGCTCCTTGCATATGTGGTATTAAAGGGTGTAAAAAGTCCCAGAGAACAGACTCCAAAAAAATCATAGTATGCAGGTCACTCTGCATGTATTTTTTTTTTCTTTTCGTCTACTTTGTACCTGCAGAAGTCTTAAACAGAGACTTCTCTGGTATGGGTGGATTCTACATGAATGTGTCCTCATTCAAATGGAAATCTGTGACATCTGTTTGTGCTCTTATTAAGTAGTAAAATATGATGAAAGGGTCGCACAGAGTAAACCGTTTTTTCTTTCCTTCTTTCAGGACAGATTTCTGCGTTCACAAAGACGAACCCTGTGACACTGTGGGTGAGTACCACTATGTCTGTCCTGTCATAAACATACTTGTGTGTGTTTGTGTGTATGTGTGTTCATTGTAGGGCATGAGGTGAGCTCAGCTGGAGATTAAAGGTCACATATTATGCAAACTACACTTTAGCATGTAACACTAATATGTGTCCCTAGTCTGTCTTCAGACTAACCCCCAATGAGTCCATCTTCTCTGTTTTTCCTGCTCCACTTTTCAGAAAATGTGTGCTAAACAGGCCATTTGGAGATTTTCCCTTAGTGACATCATAAAGGGCAGTAACCCCAGTGACTGCCAACTGCCAGATAAACCTAAGCACGGATAAGTCTTTTGTTGGTTTTGTTTCAAATGCAACATTAATAGTATTTCTCCCATAGGAAATTATATGTGCAAATAAGAACACTGACTTTAGAGGGGATATCAACAAAATATTCTCGTGTTGCACTCCCGATTGACAGACATATAGAAGTAGACACATCCAGGTCCTTCAGATAAAAAACATTTAGCTGAGCAGAGGAGGCAACACTCCACTGACTCACTATTTTATCAACTTCAATTATCTTTGCCTTCCTGTATTTTGGTGCACTGGTGGGAAGGGTGGAGGGGACAGGTGGATCAGGAAGTATGTCAGTCAGTGTGAAAAACTGAGGGTCGTGTAGAGGCATCAGTATTAAATATTTGAATCAGAATCAGATTTATTGGCCGGGTATGCTTACACACACAAGGAATTTAACTTTGGTGAACTGTGCTCTCTTACGTACAGGTACAACATTAAATATCAACAATAAACATAATAAGAAAAGATTAATATTTACATGACTAAATATGAAACAGTGCAGTGGTGAATAGTGCAGAATCAGAGCTAAAGAACCATGGCTGTATCTGTGCTCTTCTGCAATTCTGATGTGTCCATCAACAACAGAAGCTGAATACTTAGAGTTAATGTGAAAGCAGGAGGGTCATAGAATCAGTCTGTAGTGTTATTTAAATAAATGAGGAGCTATGCAGGGGACTGGCCGTGGGTGAGTAAGAAAATAGCATCGAGGAGGTTGAAGGTGGTGTCGCCAAAGACATAGACAGTTCACACCAGAAAGCTGAAGCTGCCAACTCTTGGGTGTCAACCACGAGGACGTTTCACTTTAACATTTAAAGATATCACATGTCGCTTTCAATCTGGTAGATGTCGCACATTAGCATCGGTCTCTAAGACCAAAACAAACTCAGCACCATACCTCCCCTCCTCCCCCAACCGCTCCCTCTGCGTTCTGACTGAGCCCAGCCATTTGCAGGACTAATCTCCATTCAGATATGCAGCCAAATGGTGATTCTGTTCTTATTTCTTTGAGGTATCTTAGACAAAAAAAAGTATTTTCTTTCTCGTTGGTATAAAGTGCACAGTGCACGTCCTCATCATGTTCACCGTCATCGAGTCATGTTTTAGATGAAATAACACACTCATGTTCTCATGCTTCACTGTGACCAGGACAGATGTTTGAGCGTGATGACATCAACAAACAAATTAGCTGAGATTGGGAATGTATTCATCTGCACCCTCTGACCTAGTTATCCACCTCACCTCAGAAAGACCTTACTCCCCTTTTTCTGAGTATTGAGGGGGATTTGAGACCCTCACATGGTTAAGATAGTACTTCTTTAAGTACCATTTTTTAAAACCCACAGCCCCTTTTTACATTTTCCTCATCTTAAAACCACTCCTAAAAGATGCATTGAAGTAGTCAGTATACAGGCTATGTCCTGTTATTGTACATGAAGTTTCCTGAAGGACACTCTGGGTTCTGGTTCAATTTGGAGCAACCTGAGCTGACGGGCCTCCTGGATGGAGAGCAGGTTGATAAACCCGAGGTGTCAGCAGAACCCGACAGCTGTCTCACACCGAGCACTCAACCTCAACTCCTCGCGATGTGAAGTAGCAGCGGCTCTACTCCGAGTTCCCCAAGAATGTCAAAGCTCCTCACCCTCTCTCTAAGGCTGAACCCAGGAACCCCCTGGAAGAAAATCATTTTGGCTGCTTGAATCCGCAATCTTATTCTCTCTGTCACTACCCATAGCTCATGACCCATAGGTGAGGGTTGGAAGGAAGATCGACCAATAAATCGAGAGCTTTGATTTCAGGCTCAGCTCCCTGCATTAATGCCCACACTGAGACATTCCGCCTGTCAATCCTACGCTAACTTGTGAACAAGACCCCGAGATACTTAAAGGGGCTATATGTAACTTTCTAAAATACTGCGTTTGTAGCGACACCGCATGGCCGTTAGGCGAACTGCACCATCAACCTGTTGCTCGCTCTCCCTCGCGTGCTCGTACGTACACAAACGAGCATCATCATCGTCCGTGAAACACTGGATATTTACAGGCATAATGTTTACAGAGGAGGTAAGTGGTCATACACGTGTGAAAGTCTGTGAAGGAGTCTGTGTCTGTATTCATTCTTCATCCTACAAACGACAGTCTCTGCAGGCAGAGTGTGTTGAGTTTGTCTACCTTTGAGAGCTCTTAGAGCGGATAGAAGTGTGTGGAAGACGGCCTCTGGCTGTGCAGGTGAAGACCGGGAGTGTGTGATGAGTTTGTACTGTTGATCTCTGTAAGCGGAGCGGAGTGAGGAGGACATTGAGAATGTGCATAAAATGTCACTTCCTGGAGCTTTCGCGGAAAATACGACCCGGGGAAACTTTTTATACAGGCAACACAGATAGACAGTGAACATCTACTAAAACCACATCATATGCAAACATTTCAGGCATCATGCACTTGAAATCTTCATTCTTTTGATCACTGTCATTGCTAAAACCCACGCTCACACAGGTAAGTGGTTTGAAGTCCACATTACAGCTTACAAACTACAGTTCTCTGACAGCCTTTAGCTATCAAAAAAGTCCACCAAATTTGGGCACCAGAGTTGGCACCGTCTCATACTGTCATTAGCTAGCACCTCTTTGCACATGATACACTGTGACTGTGGAGCATCATCAGTACCAATCCGTGAAGATCCAAACCTTAAATAGTTGTGGTCATACTTGTTCACTTTGCTGCTCACTCCAGAATGTCCTCTCCTCTCTCTCCAATTCTACAATTCATTTAGCAGATGCTTTCATCCAAAGCGATGTACATCAGAGAGTAAGTACAGCACATGCAAGGGTCTCTCTAGTCATTAAAAATCCATCAATTTCCCCCACACCTCCTAAAATTTATCTGAGCAGATGTTTACTCTTATTTTTGTTTGTGTTTGGGGAACGCGTCTCCCAGTTTGAAAACCGCTAGTCTATTAGACTCTAAATGGGACCATAATATACTAAATTAACATCATGCTGAATTGAAGAAGACTTGAAACAAGAGAATGAGACCATGAAGTCATTAGGAAAATGTTTACTGATGTAATAAATCGACTGACAAGTAGAAACATTTGATCATACTCTACTTTTGTCAAATCAAACTGATTTGCATATGTTTTCTCTTACAATTTTACCACTGGCAGCCAAAGCATCATTAACATTTCAATGGTTCCCAATTGTGGTTTTTCAAAAAAAGGAATTTGACTGGAAGAAGTAGACAGAATGTGTGGACTTTTTTCAAGTTGAATCGCCTAACCTAAATCAACTGTTCATGTTGTTTAAACCTGACAACACGAGGGCAGCAGGATGTGGTTCCTGCAGCTTGAACTCAAAAACCGTCCACTGACCTGCGTAATAACATCACATTTCCACAGGAGTTTGAAAAAGTGAACATATGATGGCAGCAATAATGTTTCCTCGAGAAGATGTGTGACAAAAGAAGAAGTTGGTGTAATATACCATACTTACTGTAGTCAGCATTGGTTTTTAAAGCAGGATCATTTTGCTTCATGGATGTCTTGTGCCTCAGTGTTTCTGTATTATGTAAGGCTGGATATCTTCCACCAACACTGTGATTTATGCCCATGGAAGTCAAAGAATTGGCCTCAGTCCAAAGAAGTCACAGCCGTTTTTTCTCCCTTCTTTTTTTTGTTGTTGCTTGTTTCCCCATCTGACCACATGAACTCAGAGTGTGGTTTGTTTTGGCTCCGTTTATCATAGGATATTTCCCAGAAGGCAAAAAACATTCTCTGAATTATAAATGACATTCCCTGAAATATAAATGACACAGAGAAGTAGTAAACATACCCATTTGTGCACTGACTTTATGTGAGTGAAACAATGTAACACACAGAAAACAAGAGTTCCTCAGAGAGCAGCAGCTGCACCTCACACGTCTCCCATCATGGGAAATACACCTTTGAACGGAGTCCAGTAAACCTGCAGATCTACTTACAAAGAGGAATTCCCCCTCTTTGAAATACCAGGGAGGAGTACCACACAAAGCCAGCACCTGAGGCTCAGGAAGGACCCCTGTATGGGATTAAATTAGTCTCTTGAGCGCTTCAAAAAAAGAGTTTGTGAGCGTTACAGCATCCGTTTGTGATCTGTGATCTACAATATGTTCTCCTGTGCTTGCAACTGTACAGTGATTCATTTGTGTAAAGGAAACTTCTGAGACTCAGAGAACGAGAATGAAAACACAGTGACTGGCTGATGTCTCCCTTCCTTTTATGTTCGTAATACATTTGAATTTACATTTTTTATTTATCCTCTATTTTAGCAGGGAGGACCCACCGGGTGCCCTGCAGTAATCGTAAAAAAAAGTCACTGAAACACATGTTCATACTTGCAAACCATATCCATTTCAATGATTTCACTTTTTTAAAACAGTTTCAATTTCCTCCCCCAAGTAGTTCAGACACTAGATCATAAAAACGCCATTTGAAACAAGAGCACCTTAGATGTCCTTTGAAAGTGAACCCACATAATGAGTGGAGCAACACTAAAAGCAGTCTGGCTGCAAGCAGAATGGAGTGAAATGTTTATAGACAGAAGAGTAGTCAGGAAGGAGGGAGTTTACCAATGAGTGCCCTGTAAATAAACAACATACTGTGGTGCTTTCTTCATTGACTCAGTGAGGGCTGGCC